TTTTTGAACCATTCAAATCGATTGATTCGTGCGCCCGAAAACGTGACCGAAAAATTGTATCCATACATACATACACACACACACCATTTTTTCTGAGGTATGCCAAAATGTTCAGAAACCTTCAAAACGTCGAGAAATGCAAAAATTTCAATTTGATTTTTTGACGATTACAATAACTTACCCTACGGGAAGTTAATAAAAGAAATAAAAATGTAGCAGACCAAAATGTAAAAAAATACTTAGAAAATGTCAAGACATGCGCAACAATTGCATTTCGCATAATAACTTGAAACATGTCCTAAGGATTTCGAATTATTCTGTAGTAAAATCGGTTAACGATCACGATTTTTATAATACAGTAGAACCTCGTTTATCTGGACCTCAGTTATAAGGATTTGCGATTATCCGGACTCCCAATCGCGACCAATTTATACGAATCCAGCTTTGGCGCTAGGAGGGGGTCACATAATTGAAAATCTTTAAATTTTGGGAGTCTGACTCCTCCGTTCGTCTATAATAAGTTACATATTGAAGTTATAAAATGTGTTTGGTAAGTAATTTTATTGCTGAATTAGTGTTATATCTAAGTCTTGAGACAAGCTTAGGGGGGGGGGTCATAACCCCCGTGACCCACCCCTGGATCCGCCACTGAATTTATATGTATGTACATACCCACAATCGAATTTTTGCATGTTTAATACTGCAGTTTAGTATTTGTATGTAATGTAATCTAATAATAAGAAACTATGTATGTACAAACATAAGGAAGTGTTAATTTTTTAATAAAAAATGATTTTCGTTGATATCAATGTATGTGTTTTTTTTTTAATAAATGCACAACATTATGCTTCATACATTCGATTATATCCGAATGCCCATCGACAACAATTTGTCCGGTTAATCGAATTTCTACTGTAAAACTAAAATGTTCACTTAAAATTACCCAACACACACACAAATATGTAAGCAAATGTATATAATATTTTACCTATATTATTTAAATTTGAACTGACGGCTGGTTTGTTCGAAAGAATCCATTCTTGATCTTGCAACGCATAACTTGACTTAATAAGCAACTCACACAAGCATAACACTACTAGAAACAGTGTCCACGCACGTCGGTTGTAGAGAGCCATGGCTATTAATTAATGAATACGAATAAAATAATAAATCACTATCATCACGATATAGGAATGTGCAGTACAGTTCCAATTTACGACATGATTTTAGTGTAAAACATTGTAAGTATTTGACACACAACAAATCACAACACACATCAAATCACCGGCCGTACGCGTCGTCGAACGCCAAGAACCAAAATAAACGCTTGAATTGGAATTTGGAATAGCGAGGTATTCCTCGGCCTGGCGCTGGCGCTGGCGCTTACGTCCCCCCCACTCGCCACATGCAGCATTCAACTTGCCTGTGGCGCCGCGGGCTTCGGTCCCCGTAAAAGAAGATACAACAAGCAACGAGACGACCGCATATAATAGTTTGTGCATTATAAAGGTACCCATCCATTAGGAAGTTTATTATCGAAGCAACCAGAAGATTTATTATGAATGAGCAAGAGCAGATACAAAATAGAGATGAAACATGATGTCATGAGCAATATTTTCGAATTCGCAAGACATCGCCTATTATATGTTTCAACAAGCATTATAAAAAAATTAACAGTACAAAAGAATCATTAGCACTTGGCTTGAAGATTTTTATGAAGCCTCGTAGTAAAATGATAAAAATTAATAGTTCAGGCGACTAAAATGATGTCCACAGTTCTGGCGGAGGAGAGCGGGAGCAACCAGATTTTACCTGAATATTTTGCCAATTTATGAGACCATAGTCATAAAATGACTCGAAACGATACCTTTTTTCGTAAAATACAAAAATATATTTTCAAAATCACGTAGGTAAAAATATGTAGGTGAAAATTTTATATTTATTTGTTCATAGTATTTAATATTTTATTTATATTTGAAAATTATTATAAATCCATGCGTTTCAGATAACATTCTTGCTTTTATTCGGTTGATTATACAGTCAAGAATAATACTTTATCTAAGTAACCATTTTGAAATAGTTCAAGAATAAAAATAATATAATAAAAAAACTAATCTAAATTACTTGAAAAGTGCACTATTGCAAAAATATATATTCAGATATTACAAGTAACCATACAAATAAGCATGAATAATATTTATTCTAAGAACTATAAATAATGAACTATTTATTTGTACGTTTCGACACAGTGTGTCACCATTCAGTAATTTTTTTTAAATATTTATACAGTATAACAGCAGGAAATACAATCACAAAAATTGAAACAAACATTATTGAAAAATAAAAACTAATAATTTTTTTTACTTAATTTATTATGTTTTATTTTTCAATAATGTTAGTTCCAATTTTTGTGATTATTTTTCCTGGTGTTATACTGTATAAATATTTAAAAAAAATTACTGAATGATGACACCGGCCGTGTCGAAACGTATAAATAAATAGATCATTATTTATTTTTTTTTATTTCAACGATTGGCTGCAAATATTAACATTCAAGAAATATGTCTCAACGTCGAACAAAAAATCTAAATCTTATATTAAATGTATGTCAATAATGCCTTCAATAATGCAGTAATTCCTTTTTGTAAAAGCTAACATTTTATTTAATGAATTATTCTGAATCCAGGTATATTCGAACCAAAAATCCCCAAACGAATTTAATCTGATTTTTTCAAAACCCGAAATTCTATAAATTAACCGTTAACACCTTAGATCGCAAAATCCATTTCTTCCGCTGATTTCAATGATATAAGAAAAATATTAAGTTTTTTTTCTTTAATTAATTAACCAAATTTCTTTATATATTATAAATAAAATCTTGAAAATGATATAGTAAGAACGGCAATGCGATGTGTTATCTATTAAAAACTTTTTATATACTACAAAAAATTGATTATACTGGGGAAATGCATACATAAAGTTTTACACATTTTATTCATATGAATAAAAAATGATTTTTAATTCGTGTTTTTTCTTTCAAAAATAAATATAATATTGAATTTGTTTTAAAAGTTGTCCGTTTTAAATGCACCTCAAAAAATATGAGTCATTCATAATAAGTTTAATATGATTTTTATATAAAAATAAATGTTTAAATAAAATGAAAACGATCTAAAATTTGCAACAAAAGTCGATTTTATCTCATTTCACGTTCTAAATATACATACTTTTTTCTCTAATGTTCAAGAAATATGAATGAACGATCGCCCGAGACACCGAAATTTTTACAACTGGACATTTATTGGTCATTTGGTCATAAATTGCTCGGTCGCCTGGTTGCCTAGTGGATGGGTAGCATAAAGGACTTACTTTAAATCATAGGTTCCCAAACATTTTTGGACCCCTGTATACTGCCATGGACTGCCTATATACCTGATATCGATTTTTTTTAATAAATTTCTAATTGTACTAAAGTTTATTATTAGATATTTACATGTTACATTCAAGCATTTATTAATTGAATTTAAAACTAGTGGGGTGGGTGGCATCGTGCCTTAAGGCAAATTGCTGGAACTTCGCGTACCGTACCGTTTTCAAATAGATTATTATAAATATTGTAACATTGTCCAAAATTATAAGAATTATATAAACTGAATTGCAGAGTTGAAATTATTTGTTTAAAGTATATTAGAACTATACTTAGAATTAAAAATAAAATCTGAATTATTTTCTATATTCAAAAATTAAAAAAAAAATGGAACGATATTTTTTTTCCAAAATCAATTATTTTGTTAAGACAAGCAGAAAGTTCTTTGAATCAATTAAATCGGACGCTTAGTTCTCTCAAAAAACTGCCATTTTTTGTACATTTAGCTCTGTGTCTCCGAAATGGCTGGGCCTGCCTTTGCGAAAAACTAATAACCCCTTCTCCCAATCATTAATAATTGAATGTTTTTTAGATCATTCAAATCGGATGCTCCGTTCTCTCAAAAACTCGATTTCTATTTTCTGCACTCTTTGCTTCTTATCTCCGTAACTGCTGGATCTGCCTTTGCCAAAAACTAATAAGCACATCTCCTTATCAATAGGAATCGAATGTTTTTAAACCATTCAAATCGATTGATCCGTACGCCCGAAAACGTGGGCGAATATTTGTATCCATACATACATACACACACACACATCCATTTTTTCTGAAGTATGCCAAAATGTTCAGAAACCTTCAAAACGTCGAGAAATGTAAAAATTTTCAATTCCGATTTTCGGCCCATTACAATAACTTACCCTACGGGAAGTTAATAATAACCAACTAGTGGTGTATAGCATTGTGCCTTAAGGCAAATTGCTGAAACTTCCCGTACCTTAATGAATTATTCGAGGAATATTAAATGCTTTGAAATAGATTATTATAATTATTTAAAGTATTAGTGATGTTTAGAACTTAAACTAGAATTAGAATTAAAATCCGAATTATTTTTCTATATTCAAAAATTTTTTTCATGAATATTAAAGAAAAACTAGTGGGGCGCATGGCATCGTGCCTTAAGGCAAATTGCTGGAACTTCCCGTACCAAAAATAATTTTTTTAAAAACATTTTTGAAAAAAATTTATTTTGAAAACATTAGATTTTTAAGAAACTATAAATTTTTGATTTTTTTAATTTTTTTGGGAAAAAAACTTTTTGAAAAAATATGTTTTTTTTATTTTGAAACATAATGGAAGTTCTGAACTTTTTTTCAAAGCATCGTACTGCTTTAACTGCACAGAGACGAAATATCAAAACGCGTAAGCGCCGCGTCGCCGTCTAACGGATAAACATTGGTACAGAACCCATAGAAATATAAACAAAATTTATACTTATTTGTTAAAATCTCTATAAAATATTTGATAATTTGATGTGCATATGTCTAATGATCAATTTTGACCGCCAAATAGCTTTTTTTTTTACTTTTTTCACTACATCTCCAAAACCGCTAGATCTGTATTAATAAAAATTTAACTAGTTGTTTATCTTGTCAATACAAGTAAAATGTTTTTTGAATTATTAAAATCGGACACTCCATTCTCTTAAAAACTGAGCTACCGTTTTTGGCACTTTTTGCCCCATATCTTCGGAACGGCTAGACCTGCCTTCGCCAAAAACTAATCAGCACGTCGTCTTATCAATACAATCGAATGTTTTTTGAATTATTCAAATCGCTTCATCCGTGTTCCCGAAATCGTCGATGAAAATTTGTATCCGAAAACACATACACACACGCACACACAAACACATACACACACATACATCAATTTTTTCTAAGATATGCCAAAATATTCAGAAACCTCTGAAACGTAGAAATATATAAAAATTTTCATTTTCGATTTTTTTGCGATTACTATAACTTGCCCTACGGGAAGTTATTTAGTGGTATATGGCATCGTGCCTTAAGGCAAATTGCTGGAACTTGCCGTACCTTATTGAAATATTCAAGAAATATTAAGTGTTTTGAAATAGATTATTATAATTATTTGATGTATGTATATGATATTTAGAACTTTAGCTAGAAATAAAATTAAAATCCGAATTATTTTTGAATATTCAAAAAAAAAATTTCTTGATAATTAAAAGAAAAATTGAAACAAATTTCTGTCCCCAAAGCAATTGTTTCGTCAATACAAGCAGAAAGTATTTTAAATCATTCAAATCGGATGCTTAGTTCTTTCAAATACTGCCACTTCTACTTGCCTCTGCCAAGATCTAACCACCACTTCTCCCCATCTTTACAAATCGAATGTTTTTTGGATCATTCAAATCGGTTGATCCGTTTTCTTAAAAACTAACATTTTTAGCACTTTTTACTCCATACCTCTAAAGCCGCTGGATCTGCTTTTTCCATAAACTTATCAGCACATCTTCTTATAAATAGGGATCGATTGCTTTTTGAATTTTTCAAATCGGCCAATCTATACGCCCGAAATCGTCGACGAAAAATTGTCTCCACACATACACACATGCAAACATTTTTTCTGAGGTATGCCAAAATGTTGAGAAACATTGACAAAAAATCACTTTTGATATTTGGACGATTTATATAACTTACCCTGCGAGAAGTTAAAAAATAAAGTAAACAAAAAGTGAATGTTTAATTATCAACATTTGTAACAAATGTGTAAGATTTAATGTTAAATCTTCCAGCAAATGGTGCCTACATGGATCGTGATGATCTACGAGATTGATCTACCCCTTAAGAGATCAGTAATAACAATATATTAAATCTTCTTTTATCTTTAGCATCCAGAATACAATAACAGTCTCAAAAAGTGCAAAGAATATTATCAAGCCTTTTAATAGTCAAATAGAGTATTTGTAGGCTCAACCATATTGCGATCACGAATCAAATTATACTTATGCCACAACCATACCACAACTTACATTTTTATAAAAAAGAACAATATTTTTGGAATGGATTTTTATTTTCACATATTTCTTGTTCTTTCTTATTAATTTTTGCAATACTCTTCTATCCCTAACCAAAATGCTCAGTATGTAAAAAGCATATTAAAATCTTGGAATAAATGATGAATACTTGTAAAAGTAGTTAATATAAATAATTAGTTAATTAACGGATCAGAGACATGGACTCAGAGATAGAGATAAGAAAGGCCAACAAAAACTATTAGGAGAGTTTTGAAATGTTAGGTGCTGGAGACGAATGCAGAAGATAAAGTGAAGACAAGACAGACAAGATAACAAATGAAGAAGTTCCGAGAAGAGTTGGCGAAAAAAGGACTCTACTGAGAACCACCCTGAAAAGAAAAGGAAACTGAATCCGACCCATTCTACAAAAAGAGTGCCTTCTGCACTACGTCGTCGAAGGTAAATTAGAAGGACTTAAAGGAAAAGGAGAAGAGAAAATACAAGGAACTGAAAGCCGAACTACAGGACCAGGAAGTATGGGAGTATTAATTAATGGTAATAATACGGTAATGAGAATAATAAACAAGAAAAGGGAAGGAAATTATTTGATTTGTGGTGCTCTCATACCAAGGACCTGCCTTCGGGTGGACTACTATTTATTATTATTATAATACGCGTTATAAAATTCAATTTAATTTCTTACATTGAAGTTTCAAATATATATTTAATTTTTTATCAAATGTCAATTAAAACAAAAAATCCAAAAAGGTAAAATTTTTATTGTTAATATGTTATAAATTCCAAATTAATTTGATAAAATGCTTTTAAAGCATAAAAAAATTATACCATGGTAAAGTTCAGGCCAATAGCATATCATTTACTAACGTATTAGGTTTTTTTCTAAAAAAAATTGGTTTTTCAAGATGGTTATATTTTCTCAAAAAATGATTTTATATGGAATAATGGCTTATGTAGCATTGGATACCGCATGGGAAATTTATCTTACATACAGACAGGTGAATTATTAATGATTCTAAATCGACATTTAATAAAATTACATTTTTCTCAAAAGTGATATTAAAAAGATATTTCGCACAACTAGCAATGCATATTTAAATTATTATTCACAACAATTGTATAATTTTAGATTCGAGTATATAAAACTACTCCCAAACCACCAGATGCAATCAAAAATGTTTTCAAATCGGATACTTTTGAAAAGTCGCGTTTATATTCAATAGATCGAGCAAAGTTCTCAATTTTTGAAATGCTGTTTGGAACATGTTTGGAGATAGCTTCGTTGCTTAGGCATGGATTATATTCCTCTTGGAAAACAGCTACCAAAATAGCGGTTTCCATTGGTTTCAAAACTGATAACTTGTTTCCCATAACGATTTCTTTTATTGTTATCGATAGCATAGTTTCGACAATAATCAATCTCCCTCTTGCTATATACTATATATTCGTCATAGAAGAAAAACACGGTTTCAATAATCAAACATTTGGATTTTTCGTAAAAGACGGATTAAAAATAATTTTATTACAACTGATAATTTTTGTGCCTATACTGACTACGATCATGTACATTCTTCATTACGGCGGAGAACATGCACATATTTGGCTTTGGGGATTTACATTTGTAATAATGATTTTGATGGCGTTCATCTTTCCAAAATTCATCGATCCCGAATTTAATAAATTCACGCCACTGCCGGATGGACCATTGCGAACATCTATAGAGCAGCTAGCTTCATCTGTAAATTTTCCACTATCGCAAGTTTTGATTGTTGACGGCTCGACTCGTTCTGGTCATGAAAACGCATATTTTACAGGAACTTTTGGAGCTAAGCGTATAATACTATACGATACATTGCTTAACGAAGTCGATGGACGTCTTCCTTATGAAAATGATGAAATACTAGCAATATTATGCCACGAGCTCGGTCATTGGAAACATAGTCATATATATAGTATGATGGTGCTGTCACAGTTAGCAGGACTATTAACATTTGTGATATTTAATTCCATGATCGATTATAGTCCATTATATCAAGCATTTGGTTTTCCTGAAGGTCTCGAACCTCCGATCATAGGTTCCATTATTATACAACAATATGTGATGGCTCCGTATCAACGTGTCATAGATTTCTTTTTCACCTGGTACACTCGTTACAACGAATTCGAAGCAGACGCGTTTGCAGTGAAGATGAAATTAGGCAACCAGCTAAAGCTGGCTCTTTTGAAAATCAGCCAGAATAATTTAACGTTTCCAGTTGACGATTGGCTATTCACGATGTTCAACAACGACCACCCCACGCTACTTGAACGGATTGAGTACATTGATAAAATTAAAAGTGATTAAAGTTGTGATTGTTACTTATATTTATTCAAATCTCTGTCAACCATTTTTGATTATTAATGATTTTTCGCTTTTTATTAAAATGACACTTTCAACATATTGGATGTTTGTCTAAAACCAATTAAAAGCAAAGCCGATTTATAAATAAGTAATTGCCGAACGCACATAAATAAAAATAACAGTTAAATTTATAAACTGAATTTATTTTCGTGATCAAGAAAAAAAATGACAGTGGACATTTTTGATACAGTTGTCTTACTACCTTATTGCAATGACAATACAGTCATTTATAATATCGAAGAAGCAATAAAAATCTTGCATATATTAATTTAAATCAAACTTTCAATTGTTTTTCTCTTGATATCGATTTATTAATTAATTAAATTAATGTATTATTTTTAGTTCTGAAATACAATTGGCAATTAGCATTATTGATGTTGCAAACTAATCTAATTTAATACGGAATATATTAGGAGTATGAGTAATAAAAGTAGTCGATTTTTTATTATAAATTTTTAAAATTGTAGAACACAATTATGTATTTTGCGAGGTTCAAACTATCTTTTGGCTTTTCTTCTTAATACTGATATTTCACTGTCTTTAAAAATATTGAGGATTAATATTCAAATATGAATATGTTGAAGGAAGATTAATATCGAATACTCGTATTGTTGAAAAGTATATGATCTAAGTTTACGGTAACGGTAGGTAACAATAAAAAATAAATCACAATATAATATCATTATTTCAGATGTTATCGGTATTAATAATGATTAAAAATGACCGATAAATTCATTCCTTTTTTAAAAAGCTATAAAAGATAGAATTAAGCTAAATATTCTATAATATATTTATATATATTAACCATTGTGATTTTTATTTTTTTTTTAACCATAATAATCTCATTACTCATGGATACATGTTTAATATAAAATAACATTTAATACTTTATTTATTCAAATCTGAAACACAGATTTTATAACCATCCAGTCGTTAAAAATGCGCCTTGATACTTCGATCGCGCGACCTGAAATTTTTTATAACATTTTGAATTAATCTGCATAGGCAAAATGAGGATTTATTTGAATATTGTATTGGGAGATGTAAATATTGATTTCCTACAGGCTTTGTCAATAACTTCGCAAGCATTACGAGCTTCTGCTAAAAGTATAATCGGACATATATTAAAGTATATAAAATCATAATGTTAACCAACCTGTAGAACGTCTTGGATACACCTTGCGAGAAAACGTAAATGGTTCTTCAGCTTCTTTAAAAATCCGCATTTGCATTGCATTTTCATTGACAGTAACGTTACTCTTTACAGCCTTAATGAGGTCGTCATAAAATATTGTCCATCTGGGTTTAAAATAGTCTGACACTATACCTAATATGTAATTGAAATTAATAGATGTAAAATTGTAAAAATAAAATAATTTTTGATATTACTTTATATTATTTATATTACTGCGGAAATATAAATTAAAATAAATACTCACCTGACCACTGTTTATTCGCATAGTCAACAATTTCACCATTTGGACCCCATAAGGTTATTTGATTTCGTGCGTTGTATTCAAAACGGACCCTTTCCTTCAAATGAAAACAATTATTAAGAAAACACTATTTGTTTTTAAGATCAGTATTTGATGATTCTTCAGTATGAAATATTCCCTATTTCATATTGCCTGGTTATTCAATTCGGTTCCGTAATATTGAGAATTATTGCTAAATTTGGGTATTGAATTCATGAGTGTGTCAATATCACTAACTCAGAGTATCACCTTGTAATGTTTATAATGATATAAAAGTAATATAACCGCTCAGGGGAGGTCCTAAGGGAAAAACCACGGACATGGGTGAATCAACTTTCCAAAGTTAATGGGGGTCATACATTTGGACGCGATTGGGGCACTCTAAATGGGTCAAAATGGAATTTTTCAAATTTAAACCATTATTTTTGGGTGATTGGGACGGGACATCAGAATTCCTTTTAAAGATATAGTTTTTTTAGCAAAGTATCTTATTTTGATCCCTAGTATCCGAAAATGATGTGTGCCTATGCGACTTTTTTTGGCCCATACAAATCGACCCGCTCTAATATATATATATATATATATATATATATATATATATATATATGTGTATATATATATATATATATATATATATCTAAGTGAATTGGTTCAGTTTAACAACGAAATACTGTTCTTACTTAGGACTCCTGATAATGTATTTAAAAATCTCCTGATAACTATTCAAAAATATTAATTTTTCATTTATTATCGATAGTAGATAACGATTCGTAACTTCAAGAAATGAATGCAAAAAATGCATAGTTTTTTCAAAAGATCAAAAACCAGCTTATCATATTGGATTAATGATGTTTAAATTATTTAAGGAAAAAATAACCTGATCGTTTGTAGCACTTGACTTGGCATCTTCTAACCATGTTGATAGCAGGAAATGCTCATTGCAAGCCAAAATTTCTTCAATGTCATTCAATAAATTCATGAATGAGCGTTTGATTTCATATAGTTCTTCCAAATTGCTCTTATTATAAGCGGACAATGTCTTCATATACAATTGATCAGCAATCTGTTAAAATGATTATGGTTATTATTACTATTAAGCATATAGTGTTTCCTTATATTTTGGAAGGTAATTTCTAACACTTATGTCTCAATTTATTTTAATAATTGATGTCTTAATTTGGGACAATGATACTTCTTAGGAATAATTAATAGTCATTTATTACTATATACCACTAAAGAGAAAATGATAATATAATAATTTCTCCACTTTTTATTTTGCTGGCATCATATAGTTATTATTATTATTATTATTTTGTAAAATAATTGAAAATATTTTTGAATTTAAGGTTTATGTACGTGCAATAATAATAGTTTAACCAGATTATTTAATCGCAATAAGCTCGATAGGTTTCAAAAATTGTATCCCTTTGTAAATAAAAATATTTCTAAAAACCCATCACAAAATTTTAATCAAATAGATAAATGTTAGAGAATTCATCGCTGATAATTAATTTATTCATCGTTAATATAATTGCAACGCTTAAAATACTGCATTAATATTTAAATACATAATTATGATGATTCACCTGTTGCAACACCTGCCGGGTGATGTCCACAAGATCATATTTAAACAAATGACTGTGACTAAATTGTTCTGAAGCATTCAACATATAACGCCAGGCTTCGATAACATTTGATGTATTATACCAATACTACAACAAAAGTAAGATAAAAAAATTCTATTAATAAATTTTAATTCATTTTAATTACCCGATTTCTGATCCTTAGAGAAGGCCTTCTGTTATAGGTATACTTGCCACGCATTCGTTCCGTGCCATTATAATTATAAACACTGTTCTGTATCAAAGATGAATAAATTAGATTAATCTATGAAAAATTGTATTATAGAAAACCCCACTGGTCAATCATTACCAAAAGTAAAATCCATGCGTTTTCGACGTTCGTATCTTTCACTCCATATCGGATAAGAGCATATTTTTGTACCCATGCTTCCAAATCGATTGGCTGATCAGAGTCTCTCCATGCCACTGAATATAATAATTCGTACAGAATGGAATTCTGGTTTATTCCCTCTGGTGCTGCACCAATACCGACCAGATTGGCACCATTGTTGACAGATTTTCTTGCATCGCTTATTCCCTGGTATAAAAAATATTGAAATGAAGCAGTAATTTCAAATTAATAATTGCAACCGCTTGGTTTAAATTTATGAATTATACGAATTTAAAACATGTTAATTGAGCGTTAACTATTACATATTGCAAACATATAAAAGTATATTTTTCGTAAAAATCACATTGAAATATTATTGTTAAATGCGATTAACAGAATAAGAAGCGCTATACTATGTAGAAAAGTTAATATAAATCATTTTGTTCATATTAATTGAACTCAACTTGACTTACAAGTACGCGAAATTTATCTTATAACATTACTGTAGATACCATAATAAAAATAATTACTGAAGATACCATATAAAATTTATAGTATTGAAGCATTTAAATTAATCTACAAAAATAAAAAAATAATTACGTGTTCTATAACTCAATTTAAATTCATGAAGTTTAAATATATATTTAAATTTTTATCAAATGTCAAGTAAAACAAAATTAAAAAAATCTAAAAGTTAAAAATTATATTATTAATATGCTATAATTTTCAAAATTTCATTTGATAAAATGCATTTAAAGCATAAAAATTTATACCATGGTAAAATTCAGCCCATTACTATCTCATTTACTAACTATTCAAAAAAAATTGGTTTAAGATGGTTGAATTTTCTCCAAAAATGATTTTATATGGAATAGTGGCTTATGTAGCATTGGATACCGCATGGGAAATTTATCTTAGATGTAGAAAGGTGAATTATTGATGATTCTAAAGGAACAATCGATAAAATCACATTCTTTTAGAAGTGATTTTAAAACATTTATATATAACTAGCAATGTAATTTTTTAAATTGTTATTCACAACAATTTTATAATTTTAGATTCGAGTTTATAAAACTACTCGCCAACCACCAGATGCAATCAAAAATTTCAAATCAGATACTTTTGCAAAGTCACGTTTATATTCAATAGATCGAGCAAAGTTCTCAATTTTTAAAATGCTATTCGGAACATGTTTGGAGATAGCTTCGTTGCTTAGACATGGATTATATACCAGTTGGAGCACAGCTACCAAAATAGCGGTTTCCATTGGTTTTGAATCTGATAACTTGTTTCCCATAACAATTACTTTTATTGTTATCGATAGCATAGTTTCGACAATAATCAATCTCCCTTTTATTATATATTATATATTTGTCGTCGAAGAAAAACATGGTTTCAATAATCAAACATTTGGATCTTTTATAAAGGACGGATTAAAACTAATTTTATTAGAACTGGTCATTTTGGTGCCGATACTGACTACGGTCATGTACATTCTTCAACACGGAGGCGAACATGTGCATATTTGGCTTTGGGGATTTACATGTATAGTAATGATCTTTATGGTGTTTATCATTCCAAAATGCATCCTTCCTCTATTTTTTAAATTCACGCCACTGCCGGCTGGACCGTTGCGAACATCTATAGAGCAGCTGGCTTCATCTGTAAATTTTCCGTTATCGCAAATTTTGGTAGTCGACGGCTCCACTCGTACTGGACACGAAAATGCATTATTCACAGGAAGTTTCAGAAATAAGCGTATTATATTATTCGATACATTGCTTAACGAAGTCGCCGGACATCTTCCTTACGAAAACGATGAAATACTAGCAATATTATGCCACGAAATCGGTCACTGGAAACATAAACATATAGGCAAAAAGCTTGCGTTGTCTCAGTTAACTGGACTAATAACATACAAGATTTTAAAATCCATGATCGATTATAGTATATTATATGAAGCGTTTGGATTTCCTGAAGGTATCGAACCTCCGATCATAGGATCTATCATTATACAACACTATGTGATGGCACCATATCAACGTCTTATAAATATCTTATTCACCTGGTATACGCGTCGCAACGAATATGAAGCCGACGCGTTCGCAGTGAAGATGAAATTAGGCAACCAGCTAAAGCTGGCTCTTTTAAAAATTACCCAGAACAATTTAGTATTTCCAGTTGAGGATTGGCTATGCTCAGTGTTCAACAACGACCACCCCACGCTTCTTGAACGGATTGAGTACATCGATAAAATTAAAAGTGATTAAAGTTGTGATCGTTTCTTATATTTATTCAAATCTCTGTCTTGCATTTTTATTATTAAAATAATTTTTAGATGTATATTAAAATGATTCCCTTGAAATTTCTGTTTATTTATTTAAAATTAAATAAAACCGGATGTATATGCGGCTTGACCGCATGGTATTGTTGATGAATAAATGCAGGCCGCACAAATAAGAGTCGCAGTTTATTAACTGAAATTATTTTCATGATTGAGAAAAATGATAACTGTGAACATTTGACAATGATACTAGTTGTATTGCTACTTATTGATCATTTACTTACACATATTTTATTTAGATATATTTATCAATGCATATGATAATTTACTTTGAAAATGATTCAAAATGACTCGAAACGACGAGAAAACAAAATTAGCGTACAAAAACTTCTCCGTCGGGATGTTGAGAACAATTCAATAATAGAAAATTGCAATAGTCCAGTAGTCCAGTCATTATAGTAAGTTCACCTCGGAATTCGAGATACCCAGCTGTAGGTTTTGAGACAACTTTAGGGTGTCAATATACAAGTATTTACCGACATAATGCTGGGTATCTCGAATTCCGAGATTCTTACCTAATTTAAGCTTAAATGACTGGACTAAAGTGATTTTCAAATCGTTGATACCGGTAATAAATGGCGACCCTAGACAACCCTAGATATGGTGCAACCCATAGATGTGCAACCGCTGCGCCATATCGGTTGTTGCCCAAACTAAGGTTTTTATCCTAACTTCACTCCGTTCGTATTCGTATTGACAGCTCGTTGACAGAAGCGCTGTGAGTAACTTGCACAATGTCAATGATGGCTTCACAATTTCATAACACAACTAATATATAATATAAATACATAGTGGATAATATATTATATCCAAATAAAGTGTAGGTTAATATTACGTTATTAACCAGTTGATTATTTTTTTTTCGAGTTTTTATCAAATTTCAATAAACTACACATATTTGCTGCTTATGCATGGAATGTAAATTTTTACGACAAATATATGGATAAATACATGAGTACTTTTCCTGAATTTTCAAAAACTATTTCCAACTCTAACCAGAATACAGATGATGCTGTTGCAAATCACGTAATAGTTCTAGATGAACCAGCAATCCATAATGCAAGTCTGGAAGCTTCGAAAATTCGCAATATTGTTACCCCAATTTTTAATAACTATAAGAAAACTATTTTGTCTGTAAAATCTGACAAAGGCGTTTTTGATAATACACATATCTTGGCAGCTACTCATGATATGAATAGTTTTGATAATTCCAAATCCGTATGCTTGGTGAATGAAGATGAATCAACAAAAATTGTAATACAAAAAGGAAATTACGCCGCCGTTTATAGCAAGGAATATCATAATGAATCGGTTAGGTGTAGTATCTGCAAGAAATATTTTAGTGATCAAGATATCTTAGAACAACATAAGAAGAATCACAGTCGAATACGAAATTTAAAATGCGACATTTGCAGCAAAACATTTGCGCGATGGGATTATTTTAATCGTCATTTGAAATCACATTCTACTAATGAATCTTTTGTTTGCAATCTCTGTGGTAAGGCATTTGCTTGTTTAGATCATCAAAAGATGCACATGAGAACTCATGCCCGGAATGGATATATAAAATGTGAATTCTGTGAAGAAACATTCACGCATATGGATCAATATAAAAAGCATTTAAAAATACATGAGTCTTTACCTATTCCGTGCAATTATTGTAATGAAACCTTCATGCATTTACAAGACTTACGACAGCATATGCGAATGAATCATTCTAGTGAGCAGAATTTCAAGTGTAATGAATGTGGCCAAGCTTTTACTAGGTCGTACCATTTGGAAGGCCACATGAGAACAGTTCACAATGGAGAACATCCCTTTAAATGCAATGCTTGCAATAAAATATTTACGAGATTGTCACACATGCAGGTACATGTTTGCACTCCCACAGAACCTATTCAATATTCTATGTTAGAATTAAGTAATATGTAATTAAATTATGGCGTCATTCTTACTTTAAATAATAAATAAAACATAATTATTGATATAAACATTTTTTACCTTGTTAACATTATAAGCCTGCCCAAACATTCCTAAAGTTCCTCCAAAATTATGCAAAGCACACCAAATGAATCCATGTCCATAGAAATAATTTGTTTTGTCGAACTGAGAATTTTGTTCAGCTTGAAGATCCAATAGAATCAAACCACCCTAAATATATGTAGAATGCACATACAATAGTAGATACAATAAATAACAGTACACATACAAAAGATCTAAATTGTTTGTAATTGATCTTGCATTTAAATAATGTAGCCTTATATATATATATATATATATATATATATATATATATATATATTAATATTATCATCGAAAGAGACATCACTCAGAAATTAGCAAATCTGTGCCACCAGTAATACTTAACCAAATCTTGAGATTCCGATTCAAATTATTTTAATTTTTATTTATCACCGTGATTTTTCGAGTATAAAACTGAATATAAAAATAATAAATATAAAATAAAATACATTGTTGTGCAACCAATATTCTTCCAATTCATAAATTCCATTGATATTATATATATATATATATATATATATATATATATATATATATATAATATATATAGTATATAAAATACATTGTTGCTATCCCCTTGCATGTAAAATTATAAAATATAGGATTCTAATTGGAATGTGATAAAAATACAATTTTTTTAGAGATTACACCAAAATATTTTTTTTAAATATTTTATATAATCAAATATATAAATATCATCAAAACATTTGAATATAGTTTGCAATATATAAGTTGTGTTTTGTGTAAGCAAGAAGAAAATTATGATCAAACAAAAAGTGAAAAAATATAATGTTTTCCAATTGCTTAGTTTCAAAATCGAGATTAATAAAACTCACCACCGGAATGGCCTTCAGAAAACTTTTAATGCGATCTTGTGTCCAATAAGGATCATGAACAAACATCCATGCCTGTAGCAACCTGAAATAAATATATTTATACTATAGTCATGGAGTTTTGTTCACAAAACATTCTATACTTTTTAATCATTACTTTTGGTGATTATTTAGTTAATTAATTATTTACCAACCAAATTGACTTCGGATCTCTTCTGAGCATACAATTATATAAACTCTCAGCTATATGCCGAACGTAATCCTGTCCACCAGGAGGAACGATTTCATTAAATGGATCAGCGAAGTAAACATTACTTATACCAACATTTTGATAAGCATGTGTAAGTTCTTCATGAAAGTATGATGATATTGTGTCAAATAATGTGTCCGACGGATCCAAAAAATAACCTGCGCTGTATTTCTTTGTAAAATCATTCCATTTAGGCAATTCTGTAGTATTGGTATCAGGGTATAGTCTGTGAAATATTTGTTTTATTAACATCATAAGTTAGTGAGACACATATGCTGATAAAAGTTGTTACGACCTTTTAATAGCTATCGGAATATGTCCAGCGAAAGTAGGTAGAGCTACTATTATTCCTAAATTCTGCAATTTTCTTAATATCAAACGTTGCAAATTATGTTGTTTCTCCAACCAAACCATAGATGGTGGACCACCCCACGGTCCAATATTACCCATTCGTTGCCTAGAATTTGATAAACAGAATAAATAAAATTAGTTTATAAACTATAGTGATGATTTTGCATGAATATTTACTTATAAAATCATATAATAATGATGCACTTTTTATCATACAAATAGAATTATAACTAATTATCTATAATTTACTATTATTGTAGTTGTACAATATTTAATTGAAAGAAAGGTGTACGGCGCAGAAAGTACACCGTTATCTACGCCAAATTTGTATATAAATTTACATAATATAGCTTATATCGATTTCCATATTGTTTAATAATATACTCTTAGTGTCCAGTCATATATAATATATAACCATGGTTAAATAATATGAAAATCGCATATAAGTTTTAAAACAAACCATGGCCAAGAATGGTGGCCCAGCAAAAACCTCAATGGATTCTTCTTCACTCAATCCAAGTTCTGGTAGGTTTTCAACCAAACTAATTCTTGCATTGGGGCCAAAACCAAATAACCCTTCAAGGCTAACCAATCAATGTGCTTTCGCCATTGGCGCCACGTCCACCAAGCGTACGAATATGAAAATGTGCAAACATTTTGGAATAACGCAATCTAAGGTTAAAAAGAAAAAAGTTATAAGAGATAATTAAACTGCTAGTTTTATTTATTTGGTACATACGGTTCTCTAGATGTTACTGTAACATTAGCCTTTGGTAGAATGTCCGGTAAGGAAAGTTGTGTTCCTTCCCATGCTACTTGGCAGTTTACAAAACTCTGTCAAGTAGTGATAAAATCCTTGAGTAGCTGCTACTCCAGTATTGCCGGTGAGACACATATGCTGATAAAAGTTGTTACGACCTTTTAATAGCTATCGGAATATGTCCAGCGAAAGTAGGTAGAGCTACTATTATTCCTAAATTCTGCAATTTTCTTAATATCAAACGTTGCAAATTATGTTGTTTCTCCAACCAAACCATAGATGGTGGACCACCCCACGGTCCAATATTACCCATTCGTTGCCTAGAATTTGATAAACAGAATAAATAAAATTAGTTTATAAACTATAGTGATGATTTTGCATGAATATTTACTTATAAAATCATATAATAATGATGCACTTTTTTATCATACAAATAGAATTATAACTAATTATCTATATATTTTACTATTATTGTAGTTGTACAATATTTAATTGAAAGAAAGGTGTTACGGCGCAGAAAGTACACCGTTATCTACGCCAAATTTGTATATAAATTTACATAATATTAGCTTATATCGATTTCCATATTGTTTAATCATATACTCTTAGTGTCCAGTCCATATATTAATATATAACCATGGTTAAATAATATGAAAATCGCATATAAGTTTTTAAAACAAACCATGCCAAGAATGGTGGCCCAGCAAAAACCTCAATGGATTCTTCTTCACTCAATCCAAGTCTCTGGTAGGTTTTCAACCAAACTAATTCTTGCATTGGGGCCAAAACCAAATTAACCCCTTTCAAGGCTAACCAATCAATGTGCTTTCGCCATTGGCGCCACGTCCACCAAGCGTACGAATATGAAAATGTGCAAACATTTTGGAAATAACGCAATCTAAGGTTAAAAAGAAAAAAGTTATAAGAGATAATTAAACTGCTAGTTTTATTTATTTTGGTACATACGGTTCTCTAGATGTTACTGTAACATTAGCCTTTGGTAGAATGTCCGGTAAGGAAAGTTGTGTTCCTTCCCATGCTACTTGGCAGTTACAAAACTCTGTCAAGTAGTGATAAAATCCTTGAGTAGCTGCTACTCCAGTATTGCCGGTTATTTTCACCGTTGAATTATATTCGCTTGATTTATATAGCTAACAAAATTTATTCAAATAAATATGGTTTACTAATTTTAGTATTTTCTTGAAAAGTTATGGATTGCTTACTCTAATAGTCTAAATATACTTTCCTTTTATAGCGAGACTTTCAATATCTCTTTTACCATGCAGTAAATAACATGTTTAACACATTCACGCCGGCGCGGGCCACGTGATTTGCATGAGACTGCTCTACCGGGCCACCGGTGACTCCCATTTCGAAGCCAAAAACCAATATTTTATAAATTTTTGATGCGAAATATTAAGCTGGATTAGTTTTATAGATTTTCTCATAATACAATCCATAATAATATTATCTTATTTAAATGCCGTGTGGCCATAAAAGCTGCCACAACTGTAATTAATAATACAGCCTTTCTTATAGGCTTTATTATCAAATAAGTTTGAAACGTGTATAATTGCCTATTATGATCTTGAAAATATTATAGCTATCCTTTCGTTTTCGAAAAGTAAATACAAAATGCGTAAAATTAAAAATCAGCTTTAAATATTGTGCAACTAAATATAAATTCTCTAAAGCGTTGGACTTCAAAGTTGAAAACAGCGACCTTTTGTTTTGGACATAAAAATTAAAATAATATTCAATACCTTTCGACAACAAAAAAAATTGCTAACTATGCCAGAATGATTTAAAACAAATTTTCTGAAAATTGTTGTTTGGCTTTAACGTTTTTATCCATCATTGCTTTTGCTCGTTGGGGGCCCCCCTGTTCCGGGGGACCCATATAATTGATACGGCTGATACGGTAGTTACGCCCCTGACCGTAATACCCCAGCTAAGAATAAAGCCAAAGCTTTTAAAAAATTTATAAGTAGATATATTTATCGTTTTAAAAATAAAAATAATATAATTATTCAAACATTAAAATAAAAATAATCAACAACACAACATACGTGGAAAGATGATCTACCATCGACGCCAATGTTAGAATCAACGTGTACTTCGAACATGTGAGCATGGTTGGGTAAAAGCCTTCTTATAACACCTTCAGCGGCTTTTTCTTGCACTCTTGATGGTGTTCTCCTATTCATATCAGCCAGAATGTTTGCAATTCGTGCTGTAATATTGTATATTACTTGTATGGAGTAAAACTTTTTTGTTTACGGGTGATATGTTTCATAAATATTATTAGTATCAAAATCGTTACTACATTTCTTTAGTTGACATTTTATAAAAGAATGTGAAAGATGAAACAATAAAACTCGCAAAGCGGATTTTATCTTAGAAAGGAACGTTTAAAAATATACTTTGTTGATAGAGTAAAAAACTATGCTTCCTTGAATTTTGTTAGCATTCTCAAAAATGCCACCAGAGGAACGTGGCTTATTTATTATGTCTTCGGACATATCATTTAACCCTTTGCTTCCCTTCTGGGAGGACAACGTATCTCTAGCATATCATGCACCAATTATTAATAATTGGTGCAAATATAATATAATTATATTATATTTGTTTATCTATGCATATCATTCGGTTGTCCTTCCTAAGGGGATTTGATAGAGTATTAGCGATTATGGATAATGAAATTATTCCAATGCATTTTTTTAAGAAACACGTGTTCTCTTTCATTTTCCATTAGAATGGCACAATTACTAGATATATGGTAAAATTAATAAAATGCACGATAAATAAATCAACCATTTTACACGTCAAAAAAGTTTTTTTTAACTTCCCGTAAGGCAAGTTATAGTAATCGCAAAAAATTCGAAAATGAAATTTTTTATATATTTTTACGTTTCAGAGGTTTCTGAATATTTTGGCATACCTAGAAAAAATGGATGTATGTGTGTGTGTGCGGATACAAATTTTTGTCGACGATTTCGGAAACACTTTCTATGGGTTTCGTAACATTGTTCGCAGTGCGATTGCTTTCAAAAAAAGTTCAAAATTTCCAAAATATTTCAAAATAAAAAAAAACATTTTTTTCAAAAAAGTCTTTTTTATAATTTTAAATTTCCTAAAAAATCTATATTTTTCCAGTTTGAATCAAATTTAATCTTTTAAAAAAAAATAATTTTTGGTACGAGAAGTTCCAGCAATTTGCCTTAAGGCACGATGCCACACAATTAATTACGAATAAACGGCCCGGCTGATCTTTACCAAAACCTGATTAGCACGAACCAGCTGATATATTTGGAACGGTTTTTAAATGTTCAGAATCGGTTCAGGATTTTATGTGAAAACACAAACTTCTTCTTCGAGTTGTAAATGAGTTTTGTTTTTTTGATTAATTCATATAAATTTTAGTTCTAGAATTATACTGTACAATATCACGTTTGCAGGACGTAAATTTTAGTTCAAAAGTGGCCTCGAGTTGCTCCTAGGTATAACGTCTGAAACGGTCAAGGTGTGGAAGGGTTAACAAAATCCATACCTCCAGCAATAACAACATTTGTGATGAATATTCATGTTATACCTATTTAAATCTAATCTTTTCATAAGACTTATAAAGAAATTTTTAGCTGCGAATATAAAAAAATGCGCTATTAAAACGCGTATAAAAGAAGCGTGAATAAGAAACTTCTATACTTTAACTATATATTTATAACTATACATACATAATACACACACATATATATATATATATATATATATATATATATATATATATCTTCTATATATATAAAAATAAGTCGGGTTTTCCTTCCTGACGAAATAACTCCAGAACGCACGAACCGATTTCGACAATTTTGCATTCGTGGGAAAGGTCTCGGGCTCCGCAAGGTTTATAGCTAAGAAAATTAGTTGTGCATGGCATCGTGCCTTAATGCAAGCTGCTGGAACTGCACGCACCGTAATTAAAAATTCGAGTAATAAAAATAATCAATAACTGTTTTAAATAATTTCAAATAGATTATCTTCTATATATATATATAAAAATAAGTCGGGGTTTTCTTCCTGACAAAATAACTCCAGAACGCACGAACCGATTTCGACAATTTAGTATTCGTTGGAAAGGTAACGGGCTCCGCAAGGTTTATAGCTAAGAAAATTAGTTGTGCATGGCATCGTGCTTTAATGCAAGCTGCTGGAACTCCCGCACCGTAATTAAAAATTCGAGTAATAAAAATAATCACTAACTGTTTTAAATAATTTCAAATAAATTATCTTCTATATATATAAAAATAAGTCGAGTTTTCCTTCCTGACGAAATAACTTCAGAACGCACAAACCGATTTTGACAATTTTGCATTCGTTGGAAATGTCTCGGGCTCCGCAAGGTTTATAGCTAAGAAAATTAGTTGTGCATGGCAACGTGCCTTAATGCAAGCTGCTGGAACTTCACGCACCGTAATTAAAAATTCGAGTAATAAAAATGATCAATAACTGTTTTAAATAATTTCAAATAGATTATCTTCTATATATATAAAAATAAGTCGGGTTTTCCTTCCTGACGAAATAACTCCAGAACGCACGAACCGATTTCGACAATTTTGCATTCGTTAGAAAGGTCTCGGGCTCCGCAAGGTTTATAGCTAAGAAAATTAGTTGTGCATGGCATCGTGCCTTAATGCAAGCTGCTGGAACTTTACGCACCGAAATTAAAAATTTGAGTAATGAACATTAGTGAGAATTATCAGAATTATGCTTGGTTAAGTCAACGAGCAATTCTTACCGCAAAGAATAATGATGTACACGCACTGAATTTCACCATTCAATCAAAAATTGCTGGCGATTTGGTGACATACCAATGATTCTGACTGGTCTTCCGTTTGACTTCAAACGATTGCAATTTCCAGTTGGCCTTGCGTTCGCAATAACAAGTCGCAAGGCCTATCGCTTAGTGTTTGCGGGATAAATTTCAAATAGATTATTTAGAAAATCATTGTTTTTCACATGGGCAATTATACGTTGCCTGTTCACGAGTTGGAAAACCATCCCTTTGTTAACGTGAGACCAAAAAAACAAAAAATGTGGTTGACCAAAGAGCACTTCAATGAAACGGATAATTTGCGGATTCACTTTCATTTACTTAGAGAAGTTCAACTAAAAAACACTTCATTTTTGTAATCGAAATAAATTCATTACTGTTGTGCAATAAAATCAAATTTTTCCTTTTCAAATATAAAACAAACAAAAAAATTCTTTATCTTTCTCACGAAACCATGTGGTGGCGAAACGGAGTTCGTTGGGTTTGCTAGTATATTATATATATATATATATATATATATATATATATATATAAACAGATACATATTCCAGACGGTCAATATTTTGTTGTATGTATGTATGATATATAACGAATATAAATGTTTGATATAAAGTTAAATGCATGACTAACTTACGTTCACAGTTATATGTTTGTATGAATATTAAAAAGTAACATAGTGTGGCTATTTTCCACATCTTTATTTGTATAATGTATTTTAATACTATTTGGATAAACAACACAGCACTCACAGATAACAAACAGAAGTGTACTGCTCTTAATTCGAAAGCGCTTTTAAATAATCATATACACCAATTTGCTGAGCAAAAATTTAGAGCAACATAATTTTTAATTCAAAGCGGATTAGTAAATTAAGTAGTCGCCTATCAAAAATTTACTATCGCATCTACTTTTATATTTAGTAGCGTCAGCGACGACTTTCTTCACTACTTGTACCACCATAGGAAATTATCAAGAGTTCAAGGTTCAGATTCAGATCATCTCATTTTAGTAGTAGGACATAATAAATTTATTTTGATTGTATTCATTATATGTAGGTATGTGTCATTCGCTGTACATAAGGATGCACATTGCTTATTATCATAAAATTATAGATAAACATAAAGTATAAATATATATTTGTACAGACTTTCTTTTTTCGCGAGAGTTATGATTAACAGCGCTTTTCGGCGGTGAAATAAACCAAGTCCTCCTTACTTATCAAAGAACGTGATTTCAGAAATATACTGTAGTAGTAGTTGAGAAAATTAAAAGCTTACTATCAAAGACAGGATATATCTCCTAGACATCAGAAATGTAAAAAAAAGTCTTGGTGCCCTTTTCTTCTAAATTTCGATTAAGAAAATAAATTAAATTCATAGAAAACTTCTTAACTTTTCTTATTTAGAAGATGATTGTACCGATTAAAAGAAAAACGAGTCAATTTTTTTTTGTCTTATTATTAATTATGACCTTATAACAAAATATAGTACATATGTATTCGGTATGCAGTGGAATGTTATGTAAATATTCGGTATACATCCGAAAATATTAACTTATTGTCAACCGGGCAGGACGCATAAATGTTTTCTCAAAAGTATCATACGGACCAGGAGTATATCGACTTTTAAAATTATACTGGTTTGTGCTTTCATTTGTACTTCAAAAATATTTATAAACAATATATATATATATATATATATATATATATATATATCAAAGTTTTTCATTTATTTTGTATCAATATCAATTTATTCAATATCAATATGTATGTAATTATATCGCTCGATTAACAGGTTGACAGCAGCGAATAGACCAAGTCCCAAATTCCATGCAAGCTTAAATATATAACTATATATATGCAATATATATAGATTTTTTGGCATTGGCGGGACTTTACACGGTACATCCTATACCGAGTACGTAATACATATCAAGATGCATGTCGATAACAATTGGAACATTAATCACTAATAACTATTTGCAAGTGCAAATTTTGTGGGTGAAGTGTATAATTTGTAATTAAATAATAACTTAATAATTTCAAATATGATCACATATCTTGTATGCAAGAGGTTCGAGAAATATGTAACCATATATTATTAAAATTATATATGTATTTATATTTTTACTGAAGATAAGAAAAATTAACAGTTGGGATTAGCAATTGTATATATAATTGGTGAAGATTGGTCAAAGTAGTCATATATGCAAAATAAAACGTTTTTGCCCTATTAATACCTGAGAAGTTTCTGTTTAATTAAGTAAATATATAAGTTGAAAGTTCAAAAATTTATTTATATATCTTGAGATTTTCAACTAAGCTATGTGCGTAAAAGTCAGCAAATTATAAGTTTATCAAAATCAATCAAAAATGTTACACATATTTAAACTGAAAATATGATATTATAAAACAAAAATAATACAAAACATTTGATATAGCTAAAAGTCATAATTAATGTACATAGTTACATATTAATTTATAATATAAGTCATACTTCTCAAGATATACCATCATTTATAAAAATGCATAAGTAAATTGAAACAACTAATATGTTTCTCATGCATAACATTATAATACTAACTTTGTTCAATGTGGTATTTCACTCTCACATTCAAAAGTTTAATGACTTCATCAAACATTCTTAACACTAGTAATTTGATGATTTTTAGTCCTGCTTGGAAGTAGGTTTCTTCTTTTCTACTTCAAAGTATGCTCTATATATAAATAGTCCTAAAGCAAAATGTAATACTATCACAGCAGCTACAGCCGATAAGACATTACTGGTTACTGTATTCGTATTTAAAATTCCATCAAAAAGTACACTTTTGGTTATGAAAAATGTTGTGACTGGCATAACGATAATTGTGATGCAATAGAACAGAACTGTTCTGAAGATCCCAAAGTCGATGGAATCCTAAAATTGAGACATGAATTAAATCAAAAAATGATTGCTGTAATATATATGTATACATATATATATATATATATATATATATATATATATATATATATATAATAAAGTAATATGCATAAACTTAATGCAAAATATTTAGAATTAATCAAAATGTAATCTTTAAACAAATATCGGTTTGAAAATATCAGGCAGTCCATCTCATATTATTATATTATAGCACTTAAACATATTAATTGAATAACTTGGAGTTTAAAACCTAGTAGACCTAACTTTACAAATATTTTACAGTGCTTTTCTACTCAGGTAAACTTAAAAACTTTAATATTTTATGTTACGTTATTTCTAAGACATACATTTTTTTTAGAATCAGACATCCTATGTTATTAAAATTCGGTATAAACACAACTTTGTTACTTTACTACTGCTTTAATACTATTAAAATCGAAAAAGCACGTGAATGACAGTTCAAATTTATCTTGTTTGTGCAGAGATGTCATCGTTTGACAGCAAAGTGACACTTGAGTGTCACTGAGTGCCTTCTTCTTGGGTGACTTTACTCTTAATTAAAAGATAAAATATAAGATACTAATTCGATCCATTCTATCCTATCCTTGTTTTGATTAGATAATAGATACTGTTGACCGATAAATATTAAATCTTGCGGCCGAAAATCAGATATTTAGCAAACTTTATTTCTAACTAAAGTTACCAAAGGGTTGCCAGAAATGACAGTAACGGTTTTTACATTTAAAATAAAACTCACATTTTTTTAAATCCAATTTGTGAAGGAAAATGTTTTAATAAATAATAAATATTTGAATTATATTTCTTGTCTTCTATCTATATCACATTATATATTATATTATCTACACAGTCATTGCATTTAATTTAATTAAATATAATATTTTTTGCATTGATTTTTTATTTATTTTATATGAGAAAGCTAATTTATGAAGACCAGGGATATTATATAATATATATTATATTTAGAGTAAATATAAAATCTTTGAGTTAAATATAAATGGTTGAAACCTAAAATATAAAGTTTGAAACATTTCACCATAATATTTTATTTTATTAATCAAAGATTAGTCTTCAAATATTTGAGAAATTTGAAAACTAGGGCGGCTTATTAATGAAGCCTTACTCGTTCGCTTGGCGCTCTTGACCCAATCAGCACTTTTATAGAAAAAAAAAATTACAATGTAAGTTTGAGTAAAACTAAAGTTTCAATTTTAAATAACTTAATATATTATGAATATAAATAAACTAAATATGAATGAATGTAATTTTCTATCATTTTGCTATCACCGTGTTGCTCAAGGAACATAATAAGATTTCGTATACCCTGCTTTGCCAAAACAATTACAGAACATCTGAAGTAGTTGCACATACATAGGAGAAAGTTCCCCATCATCAAGTTTTATTTATATGTGATGGGTGTTAGTGAGCAGATCTGCCTAAATACATGTTTATTGTAAAGATCAATGTTTAGTAATTCACTAGTTGTCCAGAAATTGACTTCTAATTGAAAATGTTGATTGGTTAATTATAATATTAGAGATAGAATGATCATAATTATCCATTCCAAACAATAATAATGCATATTTATATCAGATAACAATTTGTATCAATTCATAATTCATCTCTATTAATGGTCTAATGATAATAAAAATTTATAATGCAAAAGTTAATTAAAAATAATTTAAAATGCAAAAGAATAATAAAAATTGATGAATGATGCAAAATAATTTATGTTTTTAGCTAAAATCATGCCCAGCTATATAATCAAGTGTATAATTAAGAAATTAATTTGTAAAAAGACGAGTAATTAGTCTATAAAAAGTATATTTATAGACTACTACTACTTCCCATATAAGGTGTATTTGGTATTTTAGACGTTTTTAGTTATATTTAGGTTTGCCTTGTTTTATGTTTTCTTTCGAATTTTTTTTATTAATTTGAAAAAATTATTTTATATTGGAATATTATAATCTATATAATTGAAAAATTATGTTCACTTACTTTTTAGGTCAATATGTATAAAAATTATCAGGTTCAAAAGAAGAAAAATAAAAAATAATTAAATATCTTCTAATTCACAGTAAAATTTCAAATTCAAGCAGAATCACTTATATATTCTTCATCACTTAAATAAGTATCCTTTGTAAACTTCTTGACTTTTTTGGAGCATGTTTCATTAAGTAAGCTACTTTCTAAAGAATCAATTTCTTGTTCCCTTTTCCTTTGCTGCAATTTTCAATGTAATTATAATGAAAACTCTTTTCTGAAAATAGTAACTGATAAAACAAATTTAACTCACTTCATATAATATTGCTTTACTTAGGGTTTCATCATCAGAATCTTCAAACATTTCTTTGGATTTATTTATTTCTAATTTTCTTGTTTCATTTTTCCTCTTCCGAGATTTTTTAGGAGGCGGCTGTCTGTCTCCTAATGTGTTTATGGGACACTTGTAGCTTAGGTGACCCTTTTCTCCGCACTCATAGCACGAAGATTTATCAAGATATTCCTTCCTTAAAAAAGATAAACAATAGTTAGAAATCATATACATATAGAACAGATCGAAAACTACTCTATGCAAAAAAACAGGAAAATATTGAATTATTAATTCCAATAAATTTGTATTATAAAGTGCACTTCAATAATCAACAATTAAATAAAGGGTCACCATACTATTATACCTTTTTATGAAGTCCTTAGTCCGGCCATTATCAGACGCAATACTGCATTTGATTGTCCTGTCAAACATCTGAAATAAAAATGTATCTCATAAGATAATAAAAATGCTATATAAAATGTATAATGAATTGACAAATAAATAAGCCAAGGTAAAGTAATTTAATAAGTAAAGTCAAAGAACCCAAAGTAGTACTTGTTTTTGGAAACAAATCTTTAAATAATAAAAAATAAATAAGATGATTGCAATGAATCTTGAAAAAAATTGTTGAATGTTTCCAATTCTTAACATACAAATTTTGAGCAGTTTGTTGAATTCTAAAAACTAACACTTTATGTATTTTAATAAAAGGCTTACATCTATTTCTATAGATCAGCCATCAGATATAGAAATTCAATATATTTAGTATTGGAACAATAGCATTTTAAAGATTTGAACTCTTTGAGATGATGTTATTTGAATCATTTGGTTAATATGTTTTACAATCAATAAGTTATAATATGTGGTCCTTTCAATATATACAGAAAATATCAAAATCAAACCAGCATTATTCTTTTTTTTCTTCTTGAATGTAAAACTACTTACAATACTATTATTTACAGATTTTACACATTCTTGAGCATCTTCCGGTTTCAAAAATAATATAAATGCAACTCCTCGAGACTTTCTATTGTCCTTTCGTTTCATAACTGTCACTCTACAATCAAATCAAATATAATACTTTACTAATTAAAAATAAGATTTTGAACAAAAATATTGTTACTTTACTATCTTCCCATATTTTTCATATATTTTATGCAGATCGTTGTTTGTCAGGGAATATGGTAAATTAGACATATAAACAGTGCTTTTACTAGGAGCTAATTTGCCACTCATTGCACTAAAATCAAGTCGAGAATTTCATACGAAGCTACTTTAACAAAATATATTTTGCTAGAAAAATAATCAACATAACCTCTGCAATATTGACAATTCAAAAAAAAAAACATTCAGAGATCTATTTAAATATACTATATAGATATTCACCATTATGTTCATTTGCTAGCTGTTTCTTCGTATCCAGGAGAAAGCATCCCATAGATAAATAAACATAAAGAAGTAAGTATCAACTGGTCAACCAAATGCAATTTTAATCCATTCAGAAAAATGTGCTACTAGATTTTATGAACTATTCTTAAGCACGTATTTGATGAATCATTAAAGCCCTAGACAATATTAGAATATGATTTATTCATATGATTAAAGCTTGATATTTTTCTAGACTGCCACTCTACAATCATATAAAATATTTTTTCAAAAATAAGATTTTAAACATTTACAATGTGCAGTTGTAAAGAGTAATGGGTCATGAATGGGTCTATCCTTGACAAACGCAATTCTAGCAAAGCACTTCGGTTAGATATAAAGTATTAATTTTAGTCAATCATTATTTAAAAACCATCTGATGGAACTCGATATTGAAATTTACACAATATAATCAAATGAGTTTTGATATTATGGCAATGTATTTTCATGTAAAATCATAACATTTAAATAGTAATTCCAAACAATATTAAATTTCTTTAAAAAATCTTCTTATCTATTTAAATCACAAATCTATTAAAATCTTTTTTGGTATTTGTTAAAATATAACAAAAATCTATTGTTAAATATTTTATCAATAATTTTCTGTAAAAAGTTGATAAGATGATAGTAAATTTACCTTTCCATAAATTTAGTAATATTTTAAAAAACAGTAACACAAAATAATTGCACAATTTATTTTAAAAAAAATTATAATAAATATTTTAAAATTTATTAATATTGTCAAAAACATGTATGCAAATTTGATAAAAGCAGTGAATCATAAGAATCGTGAAATGCTAAAAGTCTCTTATAAACATTCTGATAAAATATGCTACATATTTTACAGTACTTCATATTTCCAAAATTCATGATATTTTTATAATGTATTAATAATATTTCAATATCCAGTGCATTTTACTACATAATTTTAGCAAAATTATTATTTTACAAGTAATATTTGAGAATTAAAAAGTTCAATCATATTCGTGACTGCTTTCACGCTTACTCAATAATTGCTCTCTTTCTATATCATCATTTTCAGAAAATTCCTGACTCTGCATACTCGTAAGACGATTTGTTAACTTATTCAAACCTTCTAGGGCACCAGATTCAGTTAAACTAAACAGAACAGAATAATATAACAAATTTTAATTTAAAATGCTTAAACCTTGTTTATATTATATTGATAAATCTTAGATACAACTTACACCTCATCCATTGGTTCAACTTCAGTGCTCATTGAAAAATATGGATTAGCTGATGCAGGCCTGAATTTATATCCGGTCAAAACAAAAAATGCATATGTTGCTAATTCCCTAAACATTTCATCTAACCACTCATACTGGAAGGGGACAGTGATCTAAAAATTACAATAAAACATATGATTAGTAATTTAATAGTTGCATTTTCAAATTGTTATTTTTCAATCATACCTTCAATAAATAAACAATAATCCTAGTAAAGTAAATATAACACACTATCATAACATAAAAGTGTCGAAATAATTTCAACTTTCTTAAGTTGACTGCTGCCTTCCCATCTATGTGTGATGCTTCTTGAAGATGCCTTATGGACCTAACCAAAAAATATTTTTTAAATACAAGCAACAAATTACGCTTAAACTTAGTGTATAAATTCAATAAATCAGAACAAATATCTACCAAAGGCATTCAGCAAATGTGTTCTTTCTAAAATCATCTTGGTGAATACGATTATTTAACTCACATCTATGTATACAAATTTACCTGAATGCCTAATACTCAAAAAAATATAAATATGCATACATGCTACATTTTCTTCTATAAAACAAAAAAACTATATAATCAGAATTAAAAATTCAGAGAGCAAAATCATTATACAAATTAAACACACAAAATGAAGAGTTAAATAGAATCATTTAAAGAAAACAAAATTCATTATGTTATTTTGAACACATGATAGCTATTATTAATACTACGTAATTAATAACTTTTTTATTGATAAAACAAATAAAATATAGTACATATACAGCTCTATTTTTTGTTCCTTCTGAAACATTGCAAATAATGCAAAACGATATAAAAATGTAATATACATGTGAAATTCCATACTTGGATCTAAATCACACATTTGCAAGTAAATGTTACTAACTAAAATGTACTAACCATACAACTGGAAATAAAATTGCTCCACAGCATAAGAGGTCTACTAATATGAAAACATCTCTCCATGTTCTATGCTCAATATCACCCTCCTCACTTTCTTCTATAATAATTTCAGCCACATTGGCTAAAACCTAATAAAACATATTATAATATAATAATATATCATATTATATTTGTTTATCTAGAGCTTAAGAAACTATGAAAATAGTGTGCCCCACTTAAGACATTGGTTTAAAGTATACTTTGACTATTTCATGAGTCTGTATTTATTGAAAATACATAAAAATATGTAAATATAATATACCTGTAGAGGAATGACAACCATGAATAATTTCTTATCTTTGTCCGCTAGAATATGTTTTATAAACGTCCATCCAGTGCCAATTAAAACAATTGTTATAAACAACACTGCACCCTTTAATCTACAACAAAAAAAAAAAAATTCTAAATCATGCATCAACATTTTTTAATTGAAGCATGATATACTTACAAATGTGTTACATAGTATAATATTGCCCAAGTAGCAACATGTTCTCCTTTAGTTGCAATAAAATGAAAATTAACTCCATGGAACAATAAAGACATTGCTTTTAAAAAAACAAGAATTGACATGAGATAATGAATTTTAAAAACAGGATGCCTAAAACGATAGAATATCCAAATATATTAATATTTCAAATTGCATATAGATAATTTTTTATAATAGATATTACTAACATCCTTTTGAAAATCAATATCTACTCACTTGCTTCTTCTCAAAACAAAAGTCCAAAAACATCCAGATAAAAAGAATAGTAAAGCCATACAAAAATATAGTGTGGGGAGGGGCATCTCTCCAGCTGACAAAAAATTACCATTGTTATTTTCTTCTATCACTATCTAAAATAAATTTGAACTCAATTAAATAATCAAATAATAAGAAAATAATTAAAAATACAAATGCTTGAAAACTTACATTGAAATCCAATTTAACATGTTGATTGTGATAGTTTAAACAGTTATGAAAATATAAATTATACAGCCCTTCTTCGTGTGATGTTGGTATGTATATGACAAACTATAAATGATAAATCATGAACACAAAAACTTTATGTCGACTTTGTAACTAAAAAACACCTTACATTGGTTTCGATATATTGGACATCATCCTTTTCTGAAACTTTCAAAGGCAACGAAAGGTTTATACAAGATGGCTTTCTCTGAATATCTTGAACAGATGCTGTAAATAGTAATAAGACTGAAATAAAATATCTACCAAAAAGTTAAATAACAGCAATTACATATTTTGATCCTGTTCTATTTATAAAAAAGTTCATGATTTATTCAATATAATATTGTTTTCAGTAATAATCATTGAGAAAACAAGGAATTAAACAAGTTATAACAATGAGAAAGAAAACTTTTGTAAAGTTGTTAATGTTATAAAATACAGAAAATAGTGAAAATCTGAATGGAGTAGGAACGAATAACAAACTTATACTGTATACAGTATATATCTACTGTATAAATTTTCATAATTGTACCAGTGTATTCGAGGATAAAAAGGTAAATATTATAAACAAATAATAATACAGAATTTTAACATCAGAAAATTGTGAGGATTAGATCTTTAAAATACTTGTGAATATTACTGTGAAATTCAAAATCAAAGTTCATGTGATAATCTATATAAAAAATATGTTGTAATTTAATACCATTTCGGGCACTTCTCTTGTGATCTATATTTTCTGCATAATTCATCGAATTCACAACCTTCCGAAATTCTTCCATGTTTTTGTATATTTGTAAGAACTGCAGACCTCTACTGCATTCTACATTCAAGCTATTAAAAAATGATTATGTATGTGTAATGTTAATTCGCATGTTAAACAAAAAAACAAATCAAGTAATATTTACTTGTTATTATTGAGATCCAATTTAAAAAAAATAATTGAGCCTTCATTGTGGGAAGATAAAGGATCCTCTAACAAACATGTATCTTGATGACTGTCAAGATAAGGATTCATAGCATTGCTTATAGTTCTATCAATTGAAAATCCAACCTTTTCACGTTAAAAATTATTTGTGAGATTTTTTTAATCATTTCAATAAACAGGCTATCCAGAAAAACATACCTCTCTTTTTATGTTTTGTTCATGTATGTGAAACTTTTGTAAATTTACGTCAATAAATCCACCTTGATATAAGCCAAAGGTGCTTAACGCAATATAACGCCTAGAATCATCCTATCGATAAAAAATTAGGAATTTTAATGAATTATTAAAAACCGTTTTATATTATTTCGTTCAGGTCATATTTACTCTTATTTCCAATTTGTGCTTTCTGGAGTGTGCAGAGCATAAAAACATGAATACCAAGTATAAGTAATTCCACTGCATTGTGTTATATAAATATTTATTTCAAAATGTTTTTATATTCATTAAACAATTAAAAAAATTCATAATTTAATCATATTTGCTCGAATTTATGGTAGCAAACCAAAACAGTCAAACAGTATGACAGGTGACACATTTTTAAGGTAGGGCATAGATACAAGATTGTTAAAAGAAACTGTAGATTGCCCCCGCCATAAATTTGACATTGCAACCATAGATAAAGCGATAAAGAAGAGTATGATTGCAACCATTGCAACATAAGTGACACAACACACAAGTTATCCAAGTGAAGTTACTACACTATCGCTGTAAACTGACACTAGTGTTTGTCGATTTTCAAAAACCGGTTTTTTAACGGAAAAAATCGGTTTTTACTGTATAAATGGAAAATGACAAATATTCCAATTGAAGCGTTTTGATATGGGTTCCGTAAAACTTGGAATCATAACAGTTGTTCTATTATGTTTACTTATCTATGCAGTTGTATAGTTTCCAGAAAGATTCTATGATATATTTTGTCTAATGTATCTTTAATTTTGATTCATAGATAAAAGAAGAGTTTAGATTATTATATCAATGTATATATTAATTTAGATCAATACGACGTCTTGTTGAAGGAGTGAATTCAGAAATTGAAAATCATATTTCATTTAACCAAAAAATAATTAAATATTTGAAATTAATTAATTAATTGAAATTGTTCGGAATAGATTAAACTGGGGGTTTCGTTTAATTGTTTTTAAAACTAAAATTGACATTAACAAGAATGCATCAATATGTATCTAATTTTTATTTAATCAATTAAAAGTTAAAAGTTTTTCTATTAAAAAATATATTATTTTTATTTATTCAATCTCTTTTCTTTCACTATCATAAACATATTTATATTCTCATATGTGAAAATAATGCATGAAAAACGAATAATCATTTTCAAAGTTGTTTTATCCGGATCAACTATTATTTCTTTGTTCTACTAATTAAAATTAAAATAAATTTTTTTACTATTCATAAAATTGAACTTAAAATAAATTCAGTCATATTTTTTTGTTATTACAGAATATTCGAGGAAAAATGGATTTTTTATATAAAATTCGAAAATCGGTTAGAACCGGTTTTCTGAGAATTTTACAGTTCGACAACCGGTTTTCTGAAATGTTGGTATAAACACACATTTACGACACAGTAAATTATGCAACATGCAAATATTGCGATAGGGGCTGAGAGTAATATTTATTTATCTATTGAGCTATTCAAAAATCCAATTATAAAAAGTTACATAATTTTTAAAGAACTTCAAAATTTTCAATTTTTGATATTAATATTTTTTTAGAGTTCTGGGAAATTTTTTCATTGGTCAATTGCGTGTTTCATTTTCACCTACTTAAGTATATATACTTGTTTTCTGTTATTATATTTAATCACTTCTGGTCATTATGAAAGAGAGATTTATAAACATGAATAAAATAAATGAATAAAAACATAATTGTAACATAGTATAAAAATATATTAAAGTATATGCGCCATAAAGTATATTAAAATATTATAAATAATTTCAATAAAAGTAATTACACTTTGTATGTGCAAGTATGTATGTACGAGTTTGTATTTTACAAACAAATATAATATTATAATTTATGTGTTTATATATATATATATATATATATATATATATTATAAATATCACAAGCAATGTGTTAACACTATATATATTTTTTTGGGCAAGTTATTCTAACTCCATATCTTCACTCGATATTGACTCATAGTCTGAATGTGGTCCTTTTTCAATACTAATAATGTTTGTTGTTACAGTGTCCACTATCAAATCAACGCGTTCCAAATTAGTAAGTTCTGTGAAAATCAATACTGAGTGTAGTTAATCGAAATTTAATTTGTGTGCCAAACTCAAGCACTCTAAAAAAATCTAAGAATTATTATAACAGATTTTAAATAAATGAGGTGAGATTATATACATTATTTATATTACTAATTATTAAATTTTTGAAGTTTATGTTTTTGCCCAAAAATCCAAATTGTAACGTTTTAGGCAAAAATATTGAGCAGTAGTTGAAAATTCAAAAACCGTTGACAATCGTGTTGATTAGCTTTTGGTAAAGATTGAACGTGATTCGTAATTAAGTGTGATTTTTATCGATTCTAATGATAAGCAAATAATATAAGTAAACGAATATAATAAGTAATAAGTATACGCTCTTAGGCGTACTCCGAAATATCCACATTTTAATGAAAACAATTTTAAAAGCACAAAGTAAAATTAAATGTGTTAAATAAATAAAAATGTGTTAATACAATTCGGCCATTATAAAAGTTTGTTTGAAAGATATTAATCATTCGAATGATTTTTATTAATTTATTTTATTTATATTTTAAATTTATTAATCTATTTATATTTTAAAACGATCGTTTTTAGCAAAGGTGAAATCCTGCTTATTATTGAAATAAACAGTAGAACATTTTATCGTAGTAAATTAAAAGTTGTTGCTAATTCTGAATTCGTATTGATAACAGTAGTAGATTATCAAATCGTGAAATTAAAGCTTGCCTTAACGCAAAATTCCACTTACAACAAGTTAGATTTGGAAATCATTTCATAGCACTTTCGAATCTTTCATGAGCACGAGATACTAGCAACTTATAAACATTATAAATCATTATTTACCTAGGAGTGTCTTGAAACAATGAGCGAGATCTACTTTTTTATTGTTGCTTGAATCACAGATAAGGTGAACTTGAACTGGTGATATCCCTTCACTCCAAACAGTATGCAAAATCATTAGGACATTTCTTCTACTCCATTTCTTACTATTAATTCAAATTTATAAATATTGTATATGTTATACACACACGCACATACACATACACATTTGATGCCATCATCAGTCAAAATGTCAAATTTGATATTTTATAATGATTTTATTATGATGTATACATCTAAAATGTTTACACATCACAGAATTTTGCACTAACATTGACACGACTAACCAGTCAATTATCATGATTTTTTTTGTAAATAGGAAAAATAATAAGAGTTTTGTTTTACAAAAATGTGGAAAAAGTGAAGTGAAGGTACCAATATCTACTTACGAAGTTCTACTGATGATGACATCAAATTGTATGTTGAAACTTTTCGAATTAAAAATTATTTTATAAATCTTATATTAAGCATTCTCTAACAATAAGTACAATTTAGCTAATATACAAAATTTCGGTTAATTTATGTGAGTGGGTTTATAACCTCCATTAACCATGGTTAATTATAATAATAATTAACTGCAGTTAATTTAATGCATGATATAAGTTTTATTTTATTATGATCATTCTTTATTGCAAATGAACTTACAGCCTATTTTCGAAAGACAAATCGCGGGCAGCAACCTGATCCTGCATTTCTGGCTGTTCTATGACTAAACTTTCCTGAGGTAACGGTAGTATAGAAATATTTTCGATTTCTGTTGGAGCGTTTCCCACTGCATTGTCTTCTTCAATCTGTCGAAAAGAACATTCAAAATTATTAATACCCATAACGTTCTATTTCTAAATATAAGCAAAGTGATTATAGTAATACTTTGTTATGATATATCATAACCGATTTATTTTCTATTTCGAATAGGCAGAATTCGGAAGTTCAAATTTGAATGGTTATTAGCCGTACATTTATGTATACTTAAGTAGGTCATAGCTTCAATCAGAACCATTGCCAATATTGCTATAATATAATTAATTAGTAAATTATGAGACATATCATACCTGTTCGGGGGCTTGTATTGAACTTAGTCCTTGACCTAGATCTATTATTGAACTTTGTTGCGGATTAGTCATGGTTTCATTTATAACGGTGCTACTGAACAGGCCGTCTCTCATATGTCCACTAAAATATTTTTAAATATTAGTAAAACTGACAAACTTATCGGGCTAATAATTTTCGTATTAAAATTATTAATAGTATTTAGTCAGTCGATCATTTATGATAACATAAATTAAAACAATTTAAATAAAACTTTTAATTTTAGATATAATCTTACATTTTTGCGTTTGGTTTTTTATCTATTTTTTTCGCGTTCGTAATTGATTGTTATTTTTTCTTAATTAATGTCTTTAAACCGTCCCAAAATAGTATATGTAATAATAGTATATATATATATATATATATATATATATACATATATATATATACACAGCTGGGCATTAACTCGTTAATCCGTTAATCGTTAATTAACGAAGTTAACATTTTGATTAACGGATTAACTTTTAAGTTAACTTTTGAAAATGTTAACGGACACGTTAACTTCCGTTAAAATGCCAGAAGTCCGTTAATCGTTAATCCAATGCCCAGGACCGTGCCTGGCCAGCGTGCAGTGCGTGCACCGCACGCAGGCGGCCGCCTTTTGAGACGGCCGAGGGGCGGCCAAATGAAAAAAAGAACAAATTCAAAGACGGCCATAACAAAAAATGGTCGAAATAAATAGCTGTTGCATTAAAAGTCTACTGAATTAAAAGGCGGCCAAATTAAAAGACTGTTGGATTAAGAGGCGGCCAAGCTCAAAGTCCGCTGAACTCATTCGCTGCCGTAAAGTCCGCTGTATATATCTAAAAGACCAAAATTACCGTAGTAAAAATCAGCCAAAGGCGGCCCTATTGAATGCGACTCTGTTTCTAAATAATTTATAAGTTATAAACTTGGTGTAAGTGGCAACTTTGCCTAAATCAAGTTGCATGAAGTATCCAACATGTGTTAATAATCGACTTAACAATGAAAATATATTAATTCATGAGTACATTGCAATGTGAAAAACTATCGCAGATTATTCAATTTTGTACAAATTTTCTAAAAATATTAGTTATGTTTTATAAATAGTTTAAAAATTACATATTATTGAACAAGAAACAAACTGTAGTAAATTAAAAACAAGATCCAAATTTCCAAAGCAATTTGTTAATCAATAACTGAAAAACGACTCGTCGATTATTGACAAAATTTAATCAGCAAGATTCTCAAATGGAAAACGTTTGTAATGGTTTTTGAATTTTTAAAATCAATTCACTAATTAAAAATTTGAGACTTTTTTGAAAATTCTAAAGGCAAAACTAAG